AGAGAGTTTTAGATTTACGTTCACGGCAAACGTGAAACCTCAGTTGACCAGTAGTAGACCAAATTCAAAACTCGCACCGATGTGAGGCTTAAGTTGTGAACAAAGGAATCTGGCGTGACTCAAAGGAATCTGGCGTGATTCGTGACTTTTGAATCACACCAGATTACTTTGAGTCACGCCAGATCCCTCACATCGGTGCGAGTTTTGAATTTGGTCTATAAATTCTTTTAAATGACTGAAAAAGAATCACAAAGAGAGTCCAAGTAGTAGAAAAACAAAAGAGTATTTGCGCTTGGTGAGAAGGCTTGTAAATAATAAAGTAAAATACAGGAAAACTATGAAAACGTGGTCACGTTTGCCGTTTGCGAAGAGAAAAAAAGTCAATCTAAAACTCTCTAATAGAGGGGAATTCCCCTCTATTAACTATGGATGTGTTCGTGTTGTTTCATCATTTGGCCAAGCCAAATCTCTGTGTCCGACACGTTTTGTTTGCACCAAAATTATTTCATGGTCCTTCGAACTGAGTCATGTTTTTTGCGCCAAAAGTCAGTCGTTTTTGCACGGATTTATTTTATACTCAAGTCTCAAAAATTAAAAAAATTCTTTTGCCGACCAAGCTCATTCGCGTCAAAACTCCTTTGCGGACTGATTTACATTTTCTTATTTGGGCTCACTGTGAGTTTTTTAAATCGCTCCTTCCTATTGACTGTTATGTTAGATGAGACGTTAAGCCGTGTGGGATGACTGTTATGTTTCGTATTAGTTATGACCAAAGATGGAGACAAACTCAGTACTGACTTACAGTACACAGCAGTAGTAGATATGTGGAAACAGTTTGTTGGTGATGGCCTCTCTGGACAAACACAAGCCGGGCCCTCTCCAGTAAGTACCCTCTTTCACGTGATTCTTTTTCACGCAATTTGGTATCGGATCCATTACACTCAACCGGGTATTATAATTGAAACAGTTGAAAAAATTGAATCCGCAATAGTCCCCTTCGCAGTTCCCAGCGCCATCTGGTAAGGCCAAGGTAGCCGTGCCTTTGTATCCAAGCGAGACAAACGGTTAGTGCAGTTGCAATGATAGAGACGTGAATAATTGTCCAAGTTGTTAGAAAGGTCTCTATCATTGCCACCTCACTGTTTGTCTCGCTTCGATGCAAAGGCACGGCTACCTTTCAAGATGGTGCAGGGAACTGTGAAACGGACTAATGATGACACCAGTTCGTCCAATCATATTGCGCGAGGAAATCCAATGAAAAAGCCTCCATAAGTCACGCTAATGGTCACAACACAGCACGTTTGCACCGGGATCTTTTTCACAATTCTAACCGCCAAATAAACCTCTGGACTGATGAAAGTCAGTGCACGGCTGACTCACAGATTGAATTGGAGTTTATGTTGTGTTCTTCAGGCTGGCAAGACTTGGAATGGCGCCACTTCTTGCACAAGAACTGTCCCAGCTAAAAATACTGAGGTTAGTAAACGTAACTCGCTATTACTTACTGTTATTATACATTTTACTTGCTATCTCGCTTCTGATTGGCCGAGAACCTTAAGCCAATCCCTGATAGCGTGTGAGTTTAACAATAGCGTGTGTGGGTTTATAGGTATATTATGTGCAATTTTGTTTGCAAATAATGTATGGTTAATAGCCCTAAACTGAACGTGACCTCATTTTTTATAATTTAATTTTCAGGGGGGAAAAGGGGGAAAGAAAAATAGGGTGAAAAAAAAGTAAAAAAAAGAAAAGAAAGAAAAATAATCGAGTTAAATTTTGTTCGTTTTTCAGGTGTTCACCTTTTTCTTGTCCTGGTTCTTTCCTCATAGGTTAGTCAAAACACGTTGCGCAATATAGTGCTAAAGCAATACTTAACAATTATTCGCCGAAAGGGAATGTTTACCGAGGCGCGAGTTTTCGAGAGGCGAGGTAAATATTCCCCTATATTCACTGAGTCTGAGGAGAATAATTGTTTTAGCATTTTTAACACGAGTAAATTTAATATATACGGAGAGAGTTTCTTTTTTTACAAATTTTATTCATCTCTGAATAATGACTTGTAATATAGTGACATAAAATCCAAGCTTGGGCTCCCTGTGACCCGACTCACAGTATTAATATTTTTCTTGTTTTCGGTAAAAGATACGTCGACTGGCCCCAGCCAGGGGGAATCAACGACCCAAACAGCGCTTTCTATATTGGTAATCAGTACAGTAAATTCTGGAAAGATATTAAAGAGGTAATGTTT